AAATAAAACAAAAAAATATTGGTGGTAATTTTTGGCTGTGTAACTTTACAAACGGCACCCCATACTACCAGCCTCAAGAAAAGTCACATTGAAACATTGTCTCCTGTTTAGTTTTAATATTCGTTGACTGTTGACTCTAAAAATGAATGACGTGCTGCTACAGCTCATTAGCATTTCTGCTGATTCATCAACAGGGTATGGCGAGCAGGATTTGGGACACGGTGGCCACTGACCTGACACAACTACACAAAAACACACAATCTGAATGAACATCATAATACAATTTGTTCTTTATAAAAAGTACTGATTGCAAACTATGAAACAAAAACATTTAACAGAYTATTCTGAACTATTTGTGCAGTTTGAAAGATTTTACACTAGAAGTTTTCCAGATACGGTAGCTATATCGATACACAATTCTGAAATGTGGGTTCACACTGAACGTAAACAAGGTACTCAACTCAGTCTGGCAAACTTTACTCAGMAAAACTGAGTATGAATACTTACCAAGACATCACAACTATTGGTCCCATTCTTGTTCCGTTACGGCTCTTCCACTAATATAAGGTAACAAGGCTGCAGCTGAGACTAATGGGAACAGGGAACAGGTTTGAATGGGAGGAGCGGGACTGAGAAGCAGAAGATGACAGTGGAAAAGTACTGGGGAAATACGCTGGTGGCAAAAAAGGCACAAGACACAGAAAAGGAAGAACCCTAACAACACACAAGTTCAAAACCCACAGATCCTGACACTGCTGGTGACCAGCTGGTGAAAAGTATTCAAAGACTCAAAGACGTCTCGCAACATTTGCAGAGGTTGTCAGTTTACTTACATGAGTCACGGAGGGTCACAGTGTTGTTGCTTGAACTGTGTGACAATCTTTCTCTCCAACTAGCCACAGCATTGCTACAAGTGTCTCAAAGYCAACTCAAACACTTTTTGATTTGGTTCCAGGCACTTCCAACTCCTCTTAAGAGTGCAAGCTTTATTTTGAGACCTGTACAGGAGCTGTGCTCTTGTCATCAAGGTGAGAATGTGAACGGTTCATTTCACAACATGAAAAGTCACCTTGATTAATCTTGATTAGACGAATGAAGTGATTAGTCTTGATAAATCGTAATCAGTATTGAAAAGACTAATCAATTGATTAATCTTGATTAGTTTTGATGAGTGGGTCATCCTCCATCAACAAGACTTATCACAGTAACATCACACAAGGTAATAAACTAGCAGTTTCCCCCACTGAAGTTTTATAATGTGACACTGATCTTTTGGAGAAGCACAAACAAATGAACAATGCTGAGCCCATAAGTCAGTCAGAATGTAGCAGCTACAATAATGTGGCAGACAACAAATAACTAATAACTAACAAATAACTAATAAATAACAAATAACTTCTTTTCAAAATCAGCCTGTAAATGAACTCAGACCTGGCAGAAAACTTTGGGACCAATTGCGTCTTCTGTCCACAGAGCTTTGACCAGAAATAGTGGGATTTGGGACAAAAAAAGCAATCCTCCGACATGGAAACTGTCACGATTTGCAGGCAATAAACCCAGGGCGCAGGCAGGTAAAAAAAACAAAAAAACAAAAATAAGGTCTTTAATATAAAGTAAAAGGCTGGCAGTGCATCACAAAAAACTTGCAAGGCTTGGTACACAGGTTCAGGAAACACGAAAACATTACTCAGTCAAGGTAGACAGCACAATGATCGGACTAAGACAAGAACACAAGACACTGAATATAAAGGGAAACTAATGAGGACAATGAGAAACACCTGGAGCAGACACAAGAGGAAACAGGTGAGCRAGGGCGGAGCTGCAGGGCAGAGAAACACGGGGAAATACTGAAACACTAGAAAAAAAACAAGGAGCCAAAAACACAGATCACGACAGAAACAAGGCCACAGGACTTAACTCTCCATGAAAACACGAGTAGGGGGGGTGTAGAAAAATGGCAACAAGTGTTCTTGATTGATGAGTTCAAAACATTTAGGTGTTAAAAACGCAGATTTTTTGCCAAAGTGTAGAAAATTAGCACAATACGAATTTGCAGACAATCAGTGCAGCTTTGTACAAGTTTAAGGTGATGTTTTGCAGTAAAAACAATAGATTTGGTCAAATTGTTGGTGTTCTCAGCAACTGGAAATACAAACAGATACTTATACATCATGCATTTAAGAAAGGAGGTATTTAACTGCACCCAATGAGTTTTGGAAGTGATGGTTTGACCCTCATRGATTTCATCAACTGTGTCCAGGATGTCCATAAAATTAAACCTCTGTGTGAGGTGTTGGTAGAGGACACTAGCAGTAGCGTATGAGTCAGGACACTGTGGGATGAAGAGTTGATTGTTTGTGTAAACTGACCTCACAACCATGTTTAAAGGGGCCATGAGGCCACAAACACCACTGAACAACACTGATGGAGTTTGGGGCCGCAGGGGTTCTGTCAGTCACCCACATTTGGCTCATGAGAGGTTATCCCTCTGAAGATGACCCCTTTCTTCACGCCCCATCCTGCCTGACCCCTGGGCCCCAGGTATGATTCATGAGTTTCTCCTTGACTTTAATGAGTACAGAGCAGACAACATGTTTTGCCTTCARCCCTTATTGAAATTGTTTATGAAGACAACAGGAGTCAATTAACCAGGACAGAGAAGTAATCAACCTGTTTTTCATTTTTTGTTTTTGAAACTCGTTGAAAACACCYTCTCAGTAAGTTTCCTCCTCCCTATTTTCAAGAATCCAAATTTGCCTTCCTGGAAGTGCAGGAAAGCATGGAAAGAATAAAGGATCAATCAACAAAAGGGTTCAGTGACAAAGATCTGAAGTGTCCATGGGCAAAGTGATTTTGAAATAACACCTTCAACATTAAAGTCTTTGTTTTTATAAAATAGTGAAACCAACATTAACTAAAACCATTGTGTTTTTACTTTTGATGTCATTTTACAGGATGTTTATTTTAAATTTATTGAACTGAAAAGCAAACTGAAACATTACATTCTGTTTTTATCTGTGATCTTTGCAAAGTCCCAACATTATGTATTTGAATTCAAAACATTTTGAATGTAATAACAGCACATTAGGGAGCAAAAGCAAACATTAACATTTCTACAAATTGCTTGTAAAATGCAATTTTTGTGCTGTAGTTTTTTGGTTTTAAGGTTTTCAGAATTTCAAAGACAACATCATTTCCTTCTTAACTAGTTATTTTTTATTCTTATTAAACAGTTTAAATTTTAAAATAGCTTTTAAACAAGTAGATCACATTGATGATTTGATTACTCATAAAAGGCGACTAATTTTGTATTAATTGGCACCTTGTAAAATACTGGAGACAAAAAAAACAAACAATTTTTTTGCAGGATTAGCCAACCAAAAGATGTTCTGTATGGAAAAATAAACAAACCCATCTGAAGGAAAGTTTCTTTTTCTGTTTTGCAGCATGATTTTTTTCATGACCAGCATCTGTCGTTGGCAAATGGCATCACAACAAAAATGGAGGCACTTGGTGCAACCAAAAGATCCTCCCTGCTGTGAAGCTGCTGCTCAAAGGAAATCACTGAACGTAGAGTCCAGAAATCAATTTTTGTCATGAATAGTTGAAATCAGATCATGTCAATTGGATAGAGATACAAGCAAGACGTTTGTAAAAGAGATGGGAATTTGTTTTTGTTTATTTTCAGTGGACAGCAATTTTGTTTTTAGCTTCCAGTTTTATAAAATATCCCTACTTTTTAGTGTGTATTTTTATTTCAATAACTTTCATATCAGTAAAGTTTTGTAGTTTATTATTTTAGTGTCTCCAAGTTATAGATCTTTTTTAAATTTGATAATTTTATCACAACTCGTATTGTTTTTTTAATAAACTAATATTGACACATTTACTTATTTAACTAGATACCGCATAGCGAAAACATAATGACCCCCGCACGCACAAATGCACCAGAACTCAGAAGT